GTGTGTGTGTGTGTGTGTGTGTGTGTGTGTGTGTGTGTGTGTGTGTGTGTGTGTGTGTGTGTGTGTGTGTGTGTGGCTCCCACCCAAGGTTGTTCCTACAACATGTTGTCTTTTGAGATTCATTGCCTTAAGCAGCAATGATGCGCTCTCAGCAAGACATGCCAAGACTGTTGGCTCCAACCCAACATGAGGGGCAAAAACGAAGGGAAGGAAGGAAAGAGACACATACTTGCGCCAGAACCCATGATTTTGTTTGCTCTGATTAAAAGTTTCATTTGAATTGAGAGTGCAAAGTAATTACTGAGTGTCTTGATTCTGTTTAGGAATGTCAGATGAAAACCCCCAAATGTTCACTGCTCACTGTTGCCCAGAAATGATTGAAGAGTACAAATGTTACTGCCATATTTGGCAGAAAACAATTTACGTTAAAAGTTTGTTTTTCTCACAACTTTGTTCCCAGTGATCAGTATTATAATTATGCTAGAAAAAAAAACCCTAATCGGTTTACTCAAACTATATTCCAAATATGTTTTTGTGCTGCCAAAATCAACTATATTTAAGACTTACAGTCTATAGAAAAACACTTGAAAGCCTGAAGAAGTTAAATAAAACAAACAAACAAAAACATTTTAGTGTTTCCTCCACTGTACAAATGCAATGTCTGTGAATTTTCAATTACATTTCACACTGTGATGTGGGAGTAATCAACATTGTCCATCTCAGAAGAAAAAGAGACTTTGTGAATAAGCCATTCAAAGTATAGTAACAAAGATAACTGATGTTTTAAGGCCTTTCACTCTGAGCCTTCACTCATTAGACAAAAGGACATTTGACTGAAGCGCTGCTGGTTTTGCAACAATGTGGACTCCTAAGTTAAATGAAAAACAAGGACTTGACAAACAATGTGCCTTTGAGAAAAGCATATCATCCACAGCTGTGTTTGTGGACTAGCTGGACAAAAACACAAACTACTAGCATAACATATTGTTTTACACCCTGTGTACACTTACTGATAACTGCATGAAAATTATTCACTAGCAGATGCAACTAAATAGGGAATAATAAAGATGCTTAGAAAATTGAGTGAAAAAATCACGCAACAAATAGCTATGTTTATATTTCATGACAGAAATACAATAAGTGAATAAATTACGTTTTTAAAAACAATAAGATGCAATAAAGATAGACGAAATATTGGAATACAAACAGAGTCTCAGTATTTCTATTTTGTGTGAGAGAGGTAAATGGTCTGTGAGAGAAAAATGTTGCACTGTATCCAAAGATAATTCCAAAAATGATTTACAACTGCTTTGTATTTAATGACATTCACCATAAACTTAACAACCTAAGCAATATTCTCAAACTGCTAAATCTTTCCCATTAAGCAGACTAAAGAAGATATTAAGAAAACAGTTATACAACATAAAGCCTCAAGGTTAAAGTGTGAATTTATTTCTCTGTCACACGCAAAATTATTAGAATAAACGAAGCTAGTCACATTATAAATGACTCAGAAAAATGGAAACTGGATGCCTTAATATATTTCTACCAGGAACTATATCGCGTTATGCATTTAAGCTCACACGCAGTTCCCTCTAAACCTAATAACTACGCTTTTCTTGTCTTCGTGTAAGGTGCAGTTTCTTGTTCCTTCCTTTTCTTTTCATCACCCACTCTTCCTGTTTAATCACCAAAAGGTAAACCCACCCACCACCCACATTTTGTGTGAAACTGTTTATTTTTTAAATGAGAAGAAATTGCAACGTTGTTGCTTTGTTGCATAAATACAGTTACAGAAATTAGATGGCTGTTGCTTTGCTTTCGTGACGAATTGCCGCCTCTACTCTCTGTGTTCGATATTTTAAGTGTCTATTTTATTCAATCCAGATGGAGACAGATGCGCTGCTTGGTGATAAGCCAACATTGTTCGTGGGAAGGCCAGAAATTGCCTTCAAGAGCCCTTAACACGTGTTGTTTTCAGACCCCACGCACACACACAGACACGGGCACAAGCACAACTGACGCTCATGCCACACGTGCACGTACGTTCAAACAGTGGCGATGAGCTGAAACGCCCTCCAGTGGCTTCACTGAGAACCCACAAGAACGAGAGAGAGAGAGAGAGAGAAAGACAGAGAGAGAGAGAGAGAGAGAGGATAAATAGAGGGATGGGCACTGTAAATCTGTGTGTGAGAGAGACACCATGTGCGTGCTTAGGCGAGTTGGGGGGGGCGGGGATAACAATGGTCTGTTTATGCTGTCATAAATAATTGGTCCATGCAGCGGGATGGCTGTTTTCGGGGTTCCTCCATTATGCTAAAAGAAAAAATAACTTTCTGGGCGCCCCTCAGCTGTAATTGGCATCGACGATTGCGTGTACCAGCAGTGGACGAACTCCAGGAAAGAGTCGACAAGAGAAAAACAGGAAAACACGCGCGTTCCCCTGCTGTTAAAAACACCCTGTTGCTACCAAAGGGTTGAAAACCTATTCCAAAGCGAGTGAGAGACTGGGAGTGGGAGAGGGGAGCAGTGGCGTTCTTTTGACAACCTGTTCAGTGTGGAAGCTGTGAGGCTTGAGAGCATCTATGTGTAAGCCTCTGTCCTCCCTCCCCTTCTTCTCTCCATCCCTCTCTCTCTCCCTTTCTCTCTCACACACAGACAGGGGCGGTCGTTCTCAGTCTGCGCACATATTCCACTTGGCCAGCATCACTTGGAGTCCACAGACACAGCGCTGATTGAACTAGCGGAGGGAAGCTCATTTTCAGAGCGCATGATTGCGTTAGAGGGGCTTCATAGACTTTCATCGGCCAGAAGCAAAGAGGGAGAGACAGTAAAGGCGTTTCAACCACGCCTTTCAGAGTAAATAATCCACAAAAAGGCAGTCCGAGTGTATAGGATTTCCCCCAAGTAGCCTTGCCTGAGTTTTTCAAAGGAACAGAGGTTTTATTTTCATTTTTGAGAAGAGGGACTCTGAGGAACCGAGCTGTGCGATGTTCTGTCGAATACTTCTCCGTGCGTAAAATAAAAGTTTAACACCCCGAAGAGATTCTTTCAGAGATCTGGGAGCTCGAAAAAGTCCACATTTCCACTCTGGGAATTTTAGCTAAAGCTCTTACTGGACGCGCAGTGGTGGAGGATATAAAACTTTTCTGTTGTTTCTGTGGTGAAACACTAAGCGAGGTTGGTCTAACGGAGAGCGAAGGAATCCTCGTTACTGAGCCGTGAGAAGGGCGCGTAATACTGGGTAGCGGACTGACCCAAAGGACGGCACCTCGGAGACAAGGTAGAGATGGCACACTGTCCCCAACGCTGAACTGGCAATACTTGAACAAAATACATGTCAGATTGGCATCATTTATCTATTCCCTTCACATTATGTCTGTCTCATTTTTAAAGAATGTTTTATAGACTGTTTGTGAGCGCTTAATTGACGCTGGAAGTATTTTCAAATGTACCCAACATTATCAAAGTTGATCATTAGTTACACGCGCTCAGATTTTGGGATTGCTAAATTATTTGCAATATAGGCAATGCGTGCCCGTCAAAGCATTAATGCCAGGGATTCACTTGCTTATATCGCAGAAAGAAACTTTGATTACAGCGCGCTTTATAATGCGAACGGTGAATGCAGCCCTCTCACAAACGTGCGTTCTAGACGTCGGAGGAAACCCCAGTGTTCGGGCAAAAGAGTCAGCTAAGAGGGTCCATTATTCCCTCACTCAGCTGGATTTCATTCCTTGTCTTCAGGTGTCCTACAGGTTTTGAACCACCAGTGTGCAACAAGAAAACAGTTTTCCATTAATACATACACATGTATGATAAAAATGAATCGGAATAAATCAGAATAAATTACGTAACACGTGCATATTTCTGCTATCACCGTCGACCTGACAGAGTAGGAACAACTGTACTGATCTGAAGGAATATGTGCGGGTCTCGGGGTCTAAAGTAGTCTCCGCGACCCCACTTGTTGTTGCAAATCCTCCATGAATACTGCAGTGTAAACCTTATTGTGCTCCCGACTACACCTGCCCGCCGCTGTGCCTCAGTGAGGGGTGGACAGAGGAAGTTTAGTCACGCTAAACAGCAGACATCTACAATCCTGTCAATCTCCAATTCTTCATCACACTGGACTGCTTGTAAGCTTTCTATAATCCACGATTGATTGAATTACCTGCCCTTTAAGTTGAATGAAGCGAGGTTCGCTGCGCGGTGGGAACTAAATTGCTCTGTAATATTATTTTCACGGCTTATGGGGTTGCAGGGGACATAGTTGAACACTAAAACAAAGCAATTTAAAGTATCTTTCCCCTCCTTTTTGATTACAATCACTCAGTTGTCGTTTCTTCCATCCTCCATAGTTACGTTTGCAGGCTGTTCCATTCCGTGCCTCTGTTTTCACCCTTGTCTTTTTCTCTCAGGTTATGACGGACCTGAGCTGAACATGGGGCTTTTTTGGATATTGTTATTGTCTCGTGTTTATGCTCTTGCCTGGGGCCAAGGAGTTTACGGTAAGGACATTATATTTACTTATGTATTCCTGTTATTACATCAATACATGCTTTATTATGCTGACTGAGTGAGCTTGCTAGCAACGAGCGTAATTGAAGGCTTGTCATGAGCTCCAAATTGCTCTTGTTTCAGCAAGGCCTTGCAATAACTGGTCTTAACACTCCTGAGAAAAGCCTGAGGGAGATGGACAACAAATTATCTTAAAAGGGAGAGTTCACTTCTTGGAAGTCAAAAGAGGAAAACTGGGAAAACATCCAACCCTGTAGTGGAAGGGAAACCCAGCTACTGTAAATCCAATTTAATTCCATTTTTAGGCTGAAAAAAATAAAATCGTCATGGTCAAACGCAAGTGTTATACAAAGTCTAAATTAGGTTGGTGATTTATTACACAAAGTGAGATTAAAGTTGTCCAAGGCTTATGATTAAAAATGAAAAAAGGGCAAAGTTTGGCTTGAATTAAGTTAACACTTTGTCCCATACATACTGAATCAGCTCCACACAGAGGCACCCGCACTCTGAACGACAGCGAGAAAGACGAGAGAGCAGCACAGGCAGAGTTAGAGCGCTCTGATATACGGTCCGTCTTTGTCAGGCAGGTTAAACAGGACAATCGCTCTATGCTTTTTAGGATAAAGCTGAGATTTGTCACCTCTTGCGACTGCAGTTTACTGTATTACAGAAGCTCAGTTGCTTCAGCGACAGGCGCCTGGCCAGTTATGCATCCTCCTGTCCCTTCGGGCAAGAAAAATACACAAACCGATCTGTCAGCTTTGATACTTTGATTTTGACATTTGAAGGCATGTGGCAGCCATTGAAAACAGGGTCTGTTTAGTCATTGTAGCACAGAGTGCTGTTGTCATAAGCAATCCCGCAGCCTGCCTTCACACTGAGAAATGCTGACAATCTGTCATTTGCTGAAGCATATAGGCCTGTATAAAAGTCCTTCCTAATCAGACTCGTACTGCTCCAATACTTCGCACTGCGGCTGTCATGTCAGCATCTGTGTAAACTATATCCAAATTACACGGACAATTCTCAGATTTATTGTATCCACTGTAACGTTTCAACTGGAACCACTAGTTGAGAGACTGCATTGACTTTAAAATAAAATACTTGAGATTTTTGCTTTCAAAATCTGTATTTTGTCAGCCCTCAGCTCTTGCAAGAGCCTATAAATGTACAATAATGGCGATGGATTGAAATCACCAGAAGTGTGCAGAAGTTATTATTTTTTTTCTCAGATTTTCTCTCATCTGTGCACTTATTAGTTCCATTACAAACAGTTTTCCGAGTTCATGTTTTAAACGCAGGTGTACGCCTTACCTTGGGATTGTTATTAGCATGCTATTATGTTCTAAAAGATCAAATTTGTGGATGCTGCAGATGTTTTTCTAACAAAATGGTTCAAAAAGATACTCAGAACTTGAGGTGTGCTTTCATTGCTGGCTGCCATTTTTAAAAAAAAATTGAACATTTGTCTCCCTGTGAAGGTACTTCTGTTCTACTTACACGGTCCCGTTAAAGGCTCACATCTCAAAATCACCCTTGTGCATTCTTGTTCTCATCTATTTTGTTTCATAGCTGTGTAAAACAGTCTTGCGTTCTCTTCAGGGTGATGTACTGGGTCTGATGAAACATCAGAGCCTCATGGGCTCTGTCACAAATATGCAGTGGGTCGAAGCAGATATGCAGTCACTGGCAGGCGTGGAGGCTCCAGCGCTGTTTAGTTTGGTTGTTTTTTTTTATCAGAGTCTTCCTTCCCAGTTTTATAGAATATGTGTCTTTTGTGCAAGAGTAGCCTTTTAGGCACCGCTGCGGGAAGAAAAGGCCCACAGCTTTCTTGGGAATTGTACTGGCCACTATTCAGACGCCCAGCAATCCCGGTGGATTGTGTGTTGGTGTTGCTTAGCTGAGCGTATCTGTGCAACAACTGTTTCATGTAGGAAAATCACCGTCGCTAAAAAGAGTCATTCAGAAAACGCAAATGGTTTCACAATTTACACAATTGCAGTAAATAGCACAAGTAGGGGTGATCAGGAAGAGTGCCAACGAGTTTGGCATGCTGTATATGCAGATATGCATAAAATGGTTTCTGTCACTTTGGAATTGTTTAGCACTCGCTCTAGCAGACAGATGCGACTCACCGTCCGTCGGGAGCCAAACGGTGAAAGCGTGCCTGATTGATGTCAGTGCTTTGGATGGCTGTGAGGTTCATTTACTGTAGCCTTCTCTGGGGTGTTTTTGGATGTGTGCGTTTTTATCAGCTCACGCTTTGTGAATCTGTGTATGCAGGTGTTTGTGCTCGTGTATGCGAGTGTGTGAAGAGTGTGATCCTGTGAACTTCTGGGTGTGTTGGAGTGCGCAAGTGTGAGAGGGATATGCTTGTGCAGAAGACACACTCAATCCCACTGCAACAGTTTGCTGGCTCAGCAGGGACTTTAGGATCAGTCACTGTTTTTCTTGCAGCAGTGTAGTATTGATTGGACTTCTGTGAGGTCTGTCAAAAAGCTTGTAACACCTGTCCGTCAAATTGGAATTGGACAGACAAGTACACCAATAAAATGTGATTGTGTATTTAATAGCAAAAAGAAAAAGCCTCACACCATATGTTTTGTCACAGCTAAGCAAGCTTTGTTATGCAAGTTTAATCAGATCATTTATAGTACGTCTTTTTTTTTAAATTTATCAAACATTCTCCTTCTCTCCTCTGTTTTCTCTTGGGGGATAAGCCTTTTATATGCATTTCCTCACAAACATTCCTGCATATATACATAGTGATTCTGAAGTTTCATTTAATCTGGATATACTGTAATCCAAGGGCATTACAAGCATGATGTGGCATTCACATGCGGCAAGTCTTAACGCACTTAAGGATTAAACTTCGAGGCAGTTTGGCAGGATGTGACTTCTAAACTGAAGAGTCAACACAGACAGAGTGTACCAGGAAAAGTGTCTCTTCATGTTGTGGTACTGCATGACATCACACTGTGTGAAATAACAGAGTTCACAGAGACACCAAATTATTGATTGCTCGACAAAGTCACACAAAGCCATTAGCTGGTGGTGTAGATGGAATCCAGACTGCATTAGGCTGCAATGTGATGCTTCATTATGTGCTTGTTAACAGGAAATTTAATGAACTTAAATCAGTGATTTTGCTTAACAGTGCTTTTGTTTTTTTTAGATTTGAGCAAGACTCGTACAGTAGCTGGGGAAATTAGGCCTCGCCACTGGCCACAGAACAAAGCACTACAGGAAATGCAGAAACTAAGTTAATATGCTTAAAGTGTGCACAGATGTAACAAAACTTTGAAGATGTTGCCTAAGGTTGAATGAAAAGCTTGCTGCATTTCCCATTTTTATTTGCTGTCTCTCTGTATATGTTTTAATCTGGAACTTTATTCACCGCAGTCTATGATGGAAACTAAATACACACATTTACTCAAGTACTCTAGTTACCTAAAGTAACTACCTTTAGTACATCCATCACTGCTAAAGAACCAAACAAAAAACAGAAGTATTGTTTTATACCACTTTATGTCAAAATCTAAAATTACTTAAAATGTGACCATTTTTTTTATTTAAGAAAGAAAAGATGACATTTGCTAAGCGGTATAACAAGTACATACATCCTGATTTTTACTAGTTGCAATATTAAAGTAATGTAAACATTAAAATACATTATTGACCAAATCCTAAATAATATAGCCACACTAACACAGACCTTGCTGCTTTCTAAATGATTTCATTTTTACAATAGTTATTATTTAATTTATAATCATTTTCTGGTTTTTTCTACTTTCGGATGAAAAACTTAAACGCTTTACTTTTAATAGAGTATTTCTGTATTGTGATATCACAGAAGATCTACAGTATATTATCTTCCGATGGTACACAGATGAAATAGATCACCGCAGGTTTATGTGACCTGGCCACTGGCTCCCCTGTGACTTTAACTCTTCCTCTTCCCACATCAGCACTTTTTGTTTGTGTCTCTTTCATGTCTCATGCTACTGAGTTTATTTTGAATGCTGAATATTGCCCTTTTCTAATAAGCATCCATAATTTATCGGTGGCTCTGAGGCAGTGGAGGAGGAGGAGGGGAAGGGGGAGAGGAGACAGAGATTGGAAGAGACTGAAACGTTAAGCAAGAGATGATAATAATCTTTTACATCCCTCCTAATCCTTACCTGCTTTTTTCTTTTGACATGCAGAGATGTAGGCACAGAATATTCAGAGGCGCATGCAGACATGTAATCAGGCAAGGTTTTGCATCAAAACACAAGTCTAAACTTTACCCATATGTAACCTAAATTTAAAATTACTTTGAACTTTGACCTCGATCTTAAAACTTGTAGTTTTTAATTTTGAGGACATGTTTTTTCATCACTAAAAGGGAGTTGGTCACCAAAACATGACTGTGTACACAGATGATTATAAATACATCGGTAATGCAAACACACACACACTATCCATGTTTTGCTTAACAGATTGCACCCTCTTACATGAATATGAACTATAGCTACCAAGTGACCTTTCTGTCTGTATCACTTTTAATCAAAGGCCTTGAAATTGTTGGAGTGCTGCTCAAACTCAATAACTTAATCTCTTTTTAAAAGCATAGATAGATAGATAGATAGATATTAATTTTAATTACATTTTTTACTGACATTCATAGATACACTACAATGCTTCCCCAACTAAGTTTTCTTACCATTTTTTCCCTTGATCACTCTTCCTTGCTCTCCTTTCCTCTTTCATATTTTGCTGTATAGCTGACTCGATATTAAAGCCTGACAACATTTCTATT